ATGCCTCTTCCTTGCATTGACATATATTTCGAAAATTACTAATGTTCAGTAAGTCCTTCTAATTAGTTGACCATATTCCATTCACCGTGCGTTGTGTTGTGATGTTCGGCATATAATTTTTTGAGATCGATTCGAAAAAAAAGCACAAAAAATTAAGTTTTCCGTCCACTTCATCCCAATATTTTTATCTGATCATTTCCGAAAATTATGGGCATTGTCCTTGACCATATCTGGAAACTCATGGAACAGTTCAAAGGTATCAGTTCCGCCCTCCAGTGTGATAATGGGTTACTAAAAAATAATATATAAATACGTGAGCACCTGTAACACATCCGAGTACATAGAGTAACTTCGGGTAATGTGGACCACCATTTTCTTTTTTTGATATTGTGGGCGTAACAACGGTAAAAAATAAAAACAAATTGTTTTCACAGCATGGTAGATTTGTTGGCTAATTATATTCCAGGTCAAAAATTATATATATTTGTCCATAAAAATGTTATTGCATTATATTTCAAAAAGCTCTAAACTGCGAATAAAAATAACTTGGCGGGTAATGTGGACCAGTATGTGTGGGTAATGAGGATCAGTAAGTTGAAGGTAGGTTGTGGATTGGTTGTGATAAATTTCAATTTATTGCACTCCTGGGTAACAATAAATGCAAAAATAAATGGGTTTATGTTTTGGAATAGCCCCCATTTAAGGGTACCACCCCATTTGCGGTATTTTGAAGGTCCTTGCTTCATTATCCAACCGAGGCACCTATAATTTCGGATATCGAGTTTTCAGAGGATAGAATACCTCCTCGCATATTAAATGCGCCCTTGTTTCGAACTCGTCCTCATGAAAATGTCCCACTTTTTTATAGTGGTCCACATTAGCTGACATTGAATATTTTTATTTAAAAATAATTATCGGCTTCAAAAATGAATAAAAATGTAAAAATAACCGAAAGTAATTACAGATAAACGTGTATTTTTGTTAAAGAAAACAAGAAAACCACATAACCTCTTTATATTCGAGAAAAACAAAATGTTCGACTATTTTACAAAATCGTTCGACTATTGTGCTAAAAAATTTTCAAGTCACACTTTTAAGATCAGTGCTACATTTTCACCTACTAAATTTTCAACATTGCAATTATTTATTAAAAACCAAATTTGATGTTTGTTTTCACTAATTAGGAAAACATTTATCAAGGCGGCATTGGCATATTTCAAGCATTTTCTTAGATATGGGGGGTGGTCCACATTTGACGCATGGTCCACAATACCAGAAGTTACTCTACTACAATATAATTGTTATCAATTTGGAGGTTAACCACTCTTCTTGGATATACTATCAACTTCTCAGATCTATGTCCTTCAGGGGTAAATATGTACGCTATAGAATACAAATTTGGTAATTTTTCACACAAAAGTCAGGGTCCATTTTATCCGCTAAATATTAACCAATCTTTACCAAAACCATCATCATTGGACAGAACAAGTCCTACATGCAAAATTTCGTAAAAATTGGCCCATAACTGTTGCCTGTATACTCTTTAAAAATTATAATGGATAGACGATCGGACGGACACACATGATCGACTCAGCTAGTTAAGATATGACGATCGGTGTACTTAAAGGTGGTTCTTGGACCAATATTTTGCGGCTTTACAAACTCTTGGGGCTATACAAAGCCATAAAACCCTGACAACATAGTTGTGTAGGGTTTAATTATATAGATCCCTTAACACAATTTAGTATTTCGCCCATTTCCGAACTTTTCCATCAGTACAATCAATGTGAACATCATTGAAAGCTCCCCTTTTTACACCGACAACTTTTTTGGATAATGTTTTCCGGATTAACGATTTGCGCCATTGAATAGCAATTTTGACCGATCTTCATAAAATCAAACATGATATTCGTATCATACTTCTCGTTTTTGGCCAGAATCAAAATCTTCGTTACTATTGGTCGATTTGGCATGTATTTTATTTATAAATTAAAATGTCAATATCATGTCAACATAATGATCGGTATACTAAAATGTTGGTCTGGGGCCAATATTTGGCGGCGTTACATACCTAAGGTGGACTTGTGGTCCCACAAATGACCACAAGTCCCCCTTCTCACAGAAAACCAGAGGGGACTCTTATAGAAAACAAAAAGATCTTCATATTGAAGGCATTAAGTCACCTCATGGAGATTTTCATTTGAAATTTTATAGGGATATTCTTGAATTAGTGTAGGTTCGATTTAAATAAAAAACGAAGAATGTAGGAAATATAATAATAGCAGAAGGTTTGAAAATATTTTTTGCATATCTCGAGAATTCCATCTGGCGCGACTTGGACCAAATAATAACTCGACATCAAACAAATATTTAAAATCTCAATTTTTTATTCGAAGTGGTTACTTACCCATAACATAAAAACCAGGCAGTTCCATGCAAGTACATACAAACTTGGATGTTGTTCTCTAAGATTAATTGCATTTAGACTCGACTCTAGAAACCAGGCTACATCCACCCAAGACCAGAATTTCTTATACATATACCATTGAGCGCTTCACTTCCAGTTCTTCCCACAAATGACCACAAGTCCCCCTTCTTACAGAAAACCAGAAGGGACTCTTTTAGAAAACAAGAAGATCTTCATATTGAAGGCATTAAGGTCATATCATGGAAGGCCAGAAGGTCCTCATTGAGAAAAGACATTATTAAAGAAAACAAGTGAAAAAGCGTTAAGTTCGGCCGGGCCCAACTTTGGATACTCTCCACCATAGATATACTGTCAGGTACTTGAAATGAAAATAAAGGGAACATACCAAAAAGTGACCTTTCTACAAACTGATTATGTAAACCATAATATCAGGAATTTTTAATAAATTTTTTAATGAATATTTATACCCTCAGCCTTATGGCTTATGAGGGTGTATACACTTTGATACAGTGAAAATGTGCCTCGTCGAAATATTGGTTCTAGACCCCACGTTTTTTTGGACCAAATCCATTTCAGAAAATTTTGATTTCATCCAAACTTTGCCTATATTATTATTTATTCCAAACTTTGTTCAAGTTCGAAGATGGGGAATATCGATCCACTCCTTCTGGTACAGGGGCTATACATAGGCCTAAATCCGGGCTATAGTTCCTATATATGAACTATAGCCCGGATTTAGGCCTAAGTATAGCCCCTGTACCAGAAGGAGTGAACCTTACGTTCTATCCTCCGCAGGTGAAATGATTACAACAGAGTCTTAGAACCAAACCCAAACGCAGAACAAATCAGATAACTATTTTAATATAAATAAAAAGGGGGTTATATGGGGACTACGCCAAAAAGGGTGCGAATATTAATAATTTTTAGTAGGGAGATTTGTTACGATACACTACTACAAAATACCAAATTGCAGCGAATTCGGTTGGAAAACGCGCTCAAGAACCCCAAATATCCAAAATTGGGGGTACCCTTATATGGGGGCTACCCGAAAAATGGGCCTATATTCATAATTTCTTGTGGAGAGATTTGGTACCTATTAAGAACTCAAAATACTAATTTACAGCTAACTCGGTGGAAAAATACGTTCAAAACCACCAACATACTGAAAAATATGAGGTACCGTTATATGGGGACTACCAGAAAAAGTGGACCTATATTAATAATTTTTTGTGGGCACATTTAGTACCCAATAAGAACCCAATGTAGCAAATTTCAGCGAATTCGGTTGAAAAACGCCTCCAAGAACCCCAAAATACCGAAAATTGAGGGGTACCGTTATATGGGGGGTACCAGAAAAAATTGACCTATATTTATAATTTCTAGTAGGGAGATTTGCTACCCAATAAGGACTCAAAGTGCCAAATTTCAGCGAATTCGGTTGAAAAACACGCCCAAGAACCTTAAAATACCGAAAATTGGGGGGTACCTTTATATGGGAGCTATGCCTAAACGTGGACCGATATATCCCATTTTCGAACTTGACCTGCCTGTAGACAAAAGACAACTTTATGCAAAATTTCAGCACCCTATCTCAATTCCTTCAGAAGATAGCGTGATTACAACAAACGGACGGACATGACTAGATCGTCTTAGAATTTTACCCTGATCAAGTATATATATTTTACACACGGAATGACAAAATTAATATACCCTCCATACCATGGTGGAGGGTATAAAAATGCCCCGAATGTCAGCTTATAGAAGATCTAAAGTAGTTCATTTAAAAAAACCAACATGTATTATTTTAGAAGACCAAGAGATCTTCTTATACAAAACCAAACAGTTTCTCACAAATACCTATCAATTTGGAAATTGTTCTCTAAGTTATATTACACTTGGGCTTGACTCTATAAACCTGGGTACATCCACACAATACCTTATCATAGAACCTTTCACTTCCTGAAGAGCTCCTTGTCCCCATAAGGTCTGTTATCCCATAAACGATCTTTCAATTCAAATCAAAACGGATTCTCATTTGTGAATGTTATTTTAAGAAATGTTACAGTATATTACAGGGGTCCGTTATAATTTTTGTTCATAAGCCTAAATTATTTTTCATAACATATGCTTCAATTATTTTTCATAACATATTAAGTTTGAAATCAACACGAGTGTTTAAATTCTTAAATCAACATAAACGCGGCGTGTAATACAACAACAAGTGATCTGAATGCAATCAATAATAAAATATAATAACACCATAAAAAATAAATCATTACAAATTTATTGATAAATAGAAAATATATTTCTAGGCAATTCATAGAAAAAGTTATTAAATTTCAAAAAATATACAAAAAAATTATTTTATGATTAATGTGAAAAATATTTCCCAAAAAAAAAAAATAATTTACAATCTCACCGAAAAATATAAATTCTTATCTTTTGAAAGATAAGTAAGTGCTATACCCAAAAAACACACAACAAAAACAACAAATCCCCCGATATTTTTTCTGCTCCCACTACTCTGAGCCGGGGCCAAAGAAGGAAACAAAAAGACAACAACGTTGAAAATATGTACCAACCGTATGACTATGATTACGATATTGTGGATTACTACTACAACAACAACGACAATGAGGGCTATAGCACCAGTGCCCCATCAACGTATTTTTATGAGGAATATCCATCGCCACCGCCAGAGCCAGCTCCCATTATCTTGGGTTACGATGAATATCGTCGACAGTTTATAAGTGAGTATATTTTGTACAATTTTTATTTTTATTTTGTTTTTGTATTTTTATTTTTTTTTTTTACATAAGGCAACAAAGTGTGTATGTAGTAGATGTATGTTTGTGTGTGTGTGTTGCAGCATGTAAATATGTGTGTTGGTATTTTTTTATTATTTACATAAGATAATTATTTTTGTAGATTTATTTGTTTCCTCTTTTTCTGCCGCTGCTGCTTACATCTTGTTCTTCCTCATTGTCTACTTCGTTCAACCAACCATAAAAAAGTACAATGTATTTTAACACTTACCGCAGGGTTTTACATCTCTACTGCTTTCCACAATGGCCAGCAACAATTTTATATTTTCTTTTTTGTCAGTTTATTATGCTATGCGGTTGAAGGGTCTTACTTAAAAAGAGACGACTTGTGTCCATTATTAACACATTTACGAATGTAAACTATGGTGTTGAGTACACCGCTAACAAGTTCAAAGTTGGTTTAGTGAGACACAGATACAAATATATATGTAATTAAAATGTACTAGTACATATCTTAATTATCTAATTTTCGATAGAAGAGCGGAATGTCTTCCGCACCACAAGGTCTTCTCCACAGAATATCAGATGGTTTTCTTTATAGAATATCAGACGGCCTTCTTCATAGAGCTGAAGGTCTTCCTTCATAGAAGAGCTGAAGGTCTTCCTTCATAGAAGAGCTGAAGATCTTCCTTCATAGAGGAGCTGAAGGTCTTCTTCTTCATAGAAGAGCTGAAGGTCTTCTTCTTCTTCATAGAAGAGCTAAAAATCTTCCTTCATAGAAGAGCTGAATGTCTTCCTTCATAGAAGAGCTGAAGGTCTTCCTTCATAGAAGAGCTAAAAGTCTTCCTTCATAGAAGAGCTGAATGTCTTCCTTCATAGAAGAGCTGAAGGTCTTCCTTCATAGAAGAGCTGAAGGTCTTCCTTCCTAGAAGAGCTGAAGGTCTTGCTTCATAGAAGAGCTGAAGGTCTTCCTTCATAGAAGATCTGAAGGTTTTCTTCAAAAAAGAGCAAAAAGTCTTCCTTATAGAATACCAGAAAGTCATCTTAATCGAACACCAGAAGGTCTTCTGCATAGAAGAGTAAAGGGTCTTCGTCATAGAGAACTGAACGTCTTATTGAAAGAAGACCTGAAAGTCTTATTCATAAGATACCAGAAGGTCTTCTTCACAGAAGACAAAACGGTCTTCTTTATAGAAGACCTGCATATAAGTTTTGAAGGTCTTCTTCATAGAAGGCCAAAAGGTTTTTTCATGGAAACCCAGAAGGTCTTCTTCATGGAGGACCGGAAGGGTGTCTTCATAGAAAACCAGAAAGCTTTCTTCATAGAAGACCGGAACGTGTTCTTAAAGAAAACCAATAGATCAAGGACTGGTTATAGAAGACCAAAAGGTGTTCTCTAAGCAAACCTTGAAACAGAAGTCTAATTAGTATTCTTATAGAGGACTAATAAGTTTTCTTAAATGTCTTCGTATAGAAGACCAAAAGGTATTTTAGATCTTCTTATGGAAGACCAAAAGGTCTTCACATAGAAGAGCAGAAGATCTTCTTACAGAAGACGAGGAGGTTATAGGAGATCTATAGGAAGAACTATAAAAGACCGGGAAGTCATATTATCGATAAGCAGAAGGTCTTCTTCTTGTAAAATAATGGACAATCTTTTCCAAATTCCTTCTACTAGAATTTCTTCTTGTGGACTATCTTCTAATATTAGAACAAAAGGACTTCTTATAGAAAACAAGAGGTCTTGTCATGGAATACCCACAGGTCTTCTTAAAGAATACCAGAAAGTGTGCTTATAGAAGTTCTTAATATGGAAAATCAGATAGGTTTTCCTATATAAGAGGGACTTCTTCTTGCAGAATATTAGATAAGGTCTTCTAAGAGAGGAGCAGAGGTATTTTTCTTTGAAACCAAGTCTTCTCTACAGAGAATGTTGAAGATGGTGCATGTTCTTGTGCAGCCCCCATAGAACATAACCGACCCACTTGCCGTATTTGAAAATTTCAAGGAACTTTTGCATTTTGCAAAACATTTTCTATATCGATGTATGAAACCTTTAAAGGGTCCCTACTCAATTTCGCTATTTTTATACCCTCCACCATAGTATGGAGGGTATATTAGTTTTGTTTTTCCGTTTGTAACGCATCGAAATAATCATTTCCGATCCTATAAAGTATATATATTCTTGATCAGCGTAAAATTCTATGACGACATAGCCATGTCCGTCTGTCTGTTGTAATCATTCTAGCGTCTAAACGAATTGAGATAGATCGCCAAAATTTTTCATAGAGTCTTTTGTCTGCAGGCAGGTCAAGTTCGAAGATGGGCTTTATCGATCCACGTTTAGGCATAGCTCCCATATAAGGGTACCGCGTTTTTCAACCGAATTCGGTGAAATTTGCTACATTGGGTTCCTATTGGGTACTAAATGTCTCCATAACAAATTATAAATATAGGTCCACTTTCTTTGGTAGCCCCCATATAACGGTACCTCCTATTTCGCAGTATTTTGGGAGTTTTGCTCGTATTTTTCCGCCAAATTAGCTGTAATTTAGTATTTTGAGTTCTTAATAGGTACAAAATATCACCACAAAAAATTATGAATATAGGTCCATATTTTCGGATAGCCCCCATATAAGGGTACCCACAATTTTCGGTATTTTGGAGTTCTTGAGCGCGTTTTTCAACCGAATTTGCAGCAATTTAGTATTTTGTAGTCGTATAGGGTAACAAATCTCCCTACTAAAAATTAATGATATTCGCCCCCTTTTTGGGGTAGTCCCCATATAACTCCCTTTTTTATATTAAAATAGTTGTCTGATTTGTTCCGCGTTTTGAGTTTGGTTCTAAGATTCTGTTGTAATTACTTCACCTGTGGAGGATAGCGAGATAAAAAATTAGAACGTAAGGTTCGATAATGAACTATAGCCGTATTTAGACCTAGTAGTGGACTGATATTCCCCATCTTCGAATTTGAACTAAGTTTGGAAGAAATAATAACATTGGCAAAGTCTGGATGAAATTTTAATTTTCTGAAACGGATTTGGTCCAAAGAAACATGGGGTCTAGAACCAATATTTCGATGAGGCACATTTTCACCGTGTATACACCGTCATTAGCCATAAGGCTGAGGGAGTAATTATACAATAAAAATATCTGAAATGTGTGTAATGGTTTACATTATGGTTTACATAATCCGTTTTTAGAAATGTCGGTATAGGTCCACTTTTTGGTATGTTCCCTATATTTTCATTTCTAGTTCGGCACGGCCGAACTTAACGCTTTTTCACTTGTTAAACTTTAATTTGTTACTCGGTGTTCCTGATTATCAAAAAAAAAATCTTCCAAATTTGTCAATATAGATCAGGGTTCACCAACAATACATATGCAAACTGCTATGATTGTGTTGGGCACACACATAGATCCGTTGGGAGAGTAATTTTCGCTCTCTCGGTACAGATCGTCTATGTTAAAGCATTGCAAAGCATACGACATGTTCGATGTCGAGAATAATGTTGAGTTCGAACACAGAACTGTGATTGTATTGGTACTCTCCCAAAGCGCCCACGGGCGCCTGTTTGGTGAACAGTGATATAGATCCATATTCATACATAGGCCCGACAGAATATAATAACTCCTGCCCGGCAATTTACATGTTCTGATACAGGCATATATAAAAAATCAAACCGTGTTGAAATACACATCACTTTGGAGGCTATAAAAATTTCGGACCAGCGGAACATAACGTCCTCTTAACATGTTTTTAAATATTTCAGAGTGTCTTAAATATATTTTCTCAAAAATAAAAATTATTATAATTTGAAGAATATTTCGTATTTATCTCTCATTTTTAATTTTGTTATCTCTTTCCTTTGAGCCATTTTAAGTCGGCTAACAATATTTGTCATTATCATTATTATCTCATCGAATTTATTTATTCTGAATTTTCCTCTCAATTTAATGACAATGACTAGCGGTACTCAATAAAATTATATCGTGAGTAAATTTGTTCGACATTTATTAAAGTTTAATTAAATATTAAACATCTGTTTCTACATAGCCGTTCATGCAGGAAAAAATAGCTCGAATGCAGTAAATACAGGTTAATGTGGAGGTGTTATCAGTACACATATGTAGGTATGGATGTGTGTATTCGCACAGTGTATTGAACTCAAATTATTTGATACAAAACAAAGAAGTGTCAGTAGGTGTTTCCGCCAGATATATACCCTCAGTCTATGGTTAGCGGAGGTCTTCGGAGTTACACACAGATTTTATTATTCGTCTTATATAAGGTATATGTTTTTATCAAAGTAGTTTCGGATTTATTCTTAAATTCGCTTCAAAAAAAAATGTACAAGTTTATATACCAGAGGACGGGGCTCAGGGGTCCCAACTTCGGACTAGGTCTATGTTTGGTAAAGATAATAGGTTTTGCAAAGTTTGGTTCAAGTCGGATTGTCCATTTGCAAGATATTGTATAATATAATATATCTAAACCTGATATTTTTTCGAAAAAATTCTTCTTTGTTATACTCAAACAACTGATTCGATACATCAAATGTCATTACAAATTGATATTTCTTCCTCGATGCCTTTCGAAGTCCAAGGTGCCCTTCAAATGCATTTCTAAATTTTCAGTTTTTATTTCGAATTTTTGTTTATTTTTATAAATATTTATCGATCTCTAGCAATTTCTAGAGAGATTACAGCATATTTTAAAACTTTTTGTTCTAAAAATGATTCATCAGACTTAATTTGTTAACACGAAGTAGTTTTTTGTATATATTCTTAATATCATCATCACATTTAATTTAAAAATTCCAAGATGTGTTAATTAGGTATCAAATTTGACTTGTTTCAAAAATACCGTTATATATCACAAATTTCCAGTGATAATATTCTGTTCTCACACTCTATCAATCAAGTACAGTACACATAAGCGTTTTCAATAAAAAAAACTATTTAAAAATATTCCAAATGAT